AACCCGGGTCACCCGCGTGACAGGCGGGTATACTAACCACTATACTAACGAGAATCTGTACAACAACTCACACGCCACACAAAATTTCAAAACAAATACACACATACTCCCCAAATCACGCATCGCACGCACGCTACATCGCCTCAGCCTGCTACCACAAACCCTCTACAGCACCCTCACCACTGTCATGTACACACAAACCCATCGTGGACCCCACTTGCGCCCGTCTCGTGCAGCGGCGATTTCGAGATTTTGGCGGAGGAATACTAACATCTTCACTAGAACTTACGTTGTCATCCTTCACCATTTACGCTACAACGAGGTGTAATTTTGCGATAGCACTTTGATCCTTCGTGTCGATTCCAACAACGTTGTCACCTCTTGCGCGTTATCAGGCGCACATAGGTAAAAATTACTGAGTCCAGCGGACGACGAGGGAGCAGCACTGCGAAGGCACGATCAATACTGTGTGCCCGGGTGGGCGAGGGAGATAGATCAATAATGTTAACTGCTAAGGCGACCGACGAACCGAGGAGGCGGAAGGTGATCGACGGCAGCGGATCAAGGATGGATGCCGGTGAACACGACGTCCCTGACCAAGGACGAATGCAAGTTTACCAAGACGAAAATGGATCTTGAACGGATGCTAGTTGATCAAGGTTTGGCAGCGATCGACATGTATCGACGGACAATCGAAGCGAGCAAGCCGGAGTGTGTAACTCAGTGACAGATCAGGGTGGGCCAACTAGCAATCGAAGATCAAAATGTCCTCTGAGGGCCCCCCGATGATCCGTGATCTGCTGAACTTGTTCACCTTGTGTACCCGTCGGTAGGGCAGGATCTTGCTCTTCTGGTAACTGCAGAGAGGTTCAAGTGGGTGAAGCTTGAGCGTCTTGGCGAGACGCGGGGGCTGGGTAGAGAAGTGGAAGACCTTCACTCTACGTCCGATGTAGGATCCAGATCACAAGCGATTACTTTGAGCTTGTCGGATCTGGTGGTCTTGATCTGCTATCTGACCGTGGTAGCCTTTGTAGGTGTGTTCCCTTGAGTTTTCGTTTCGTCGTCCTTGCTGCTTACTATATCTTGATAGTTGAGAGTCGATAGATATTCCCGGTCAAGCAGTGAATCCGGCTAACCTCCTTGCTCTGCATTTGTAAGGGAACGTTCTCGAGGTGGTGTGGTCTGACTAAAATACTACCCAGGTATCACAACCAACGCTAGATCTGCTATTCGCAACCTTCACCGAGCTCGCATGGCCAATGTCGTACTGGATCTTGAGAGCAGGAAGGCACTTGTGTAACAATGCAGATTCGAGTCGGATTTATAGTTACGTCCTATGCACCGACTCTCTCAACCTTCACAGCCACTAGATCTCTCAACTCAACCAACCACCTGCTTTTTCTTGTTGATCTCCATCACCCAGCTGTCCTTCGCACCAGATCTTGACCGATCTGCCGCGTAGCTCTCGCCTTATGGCCAGGTCACTGCGAATCTCTCCAAATCATGACACAAATACTTCAAACCCCGGCAATCTTGGTCGCCACCGCCGAAAACGTATATCGAGGCTGGATCCGCCTTGATCCAACTTTTATGAGCGCTCATCGCGATCTTCCTAACCTGGGTCGCCCCAATCGGCGTTCACCGCCAGAAATCCGCAGGGTCCGCCCTGGTACACTTAGGATTCTGGATCCGCCTTGCCGGATCTTAGGGTTCATAGGATCCCACTCCACCATGTCCAGACCCGTGACCCTTGGCTTTGATCTGAGTCCACCTCGTTCTCTTAATCTCCATTCCAGTGACCTTTGGTCCAATCGCTCCGGTCTAGTCGCCCAAGCCCCAGGATTTTCAAGGTCCATCCTCTTATACCTTAGATCTCGGGTTGGTAGTGTAGGATCTTGTGTCCGCCGGATCTCTCTCTGTCATGTGTTGCTTCCCGTTATCCATGCACCGATCTGAGTCGACGCCGCCACGCCGAGTCTCAACGCTGCGCCCTTCATTTAGATCCATCACTCTCTGGTCCAATCTCCTGCAGCATTTTCACATCCAGGCCAACCGTGTCACTAATCTGGAATAGTGCCATTAATCATGCTCCATCTTCTCAGTTCTTGAAAGCACTTCACCACAATCGTGAACAATGGCATTCGATAGACTACGTGACAGCATGTTTGTTGCTCCCTCAACTCCAACGGTAAGAGCCGAAGAATCTCGTAGAGCGCGCTGCATTACCATCATAGCGTCTTGGTAGCTGTCCGATAATAACATCATCGATAACTCGTGCGACAGAGGTGGCGTGTACACCGGGTTCAGCATGGAAAATAACGTCCTGTAGTCTGGATGATTGAAAAGCAAAAATTCAGCCCCGGTCTTTGAGGACAGCTCGTGCAAACGCCTGGTCGAGCGTTTTACGCTCTTCTCGAGAGTACTTGGAAACGTCTTGACTTTCAGCTGGTTCACAATGGAAGGACTGATCCGCTGGGTTTCACTACAGTCTTCCAGAGACTCAACCAGCGTTCAATTGATCGGGTTATGCTGGGGCTGATCATGTTCTTGGAAGTAGCGGAAGTAGTTGCCCCACAGTGATTACAAGATGCCCGAGCAATCTTGAACGACCCTTGAGGATGATCGTGAAAGTGGCTCCAAATACCACCACGCTTGCGTCCCACGATAGAAATTCCGGAATGAGACGCTGCTCGCTAAGTAAGACTTGTGTTGCTATAAGATGTGAGCAGTCCAGCCAACCAGTTGATCGAAGTTTCATAAAAGTACTAACAGAATAGTACTGTCGATATTAGATGAAGGTCAATAATATTATATTCGGTAGTATTCAGTAACATGATTACTTGTTTGAATAGTAATACACAATAGTCATTGGCGATTCTACAAGTACTATCAACTCAGAAATAGACGTGCCTGCCGAACCAGATCCGGTCAGATTCTGATAATTTTCCAATTTTATATTATCCGTATTGTTCCGGACGAAAGTACCAGTGTACCTGTTATCGTCAGGACAGGACGTCCGACAAATTCTGGAAAGCGACCCTTCGTATATATACAATCTTTCATATGTACGGGTTGTGACTGAGAATGACGCAGCTTTTTCAGGACGCCATTCTTGAACACGATGGATATAGAGAACGACTCATTGTCTGTGCTTGAAGACGAAGTTACTAGTGCCCGCGCTAGTACGATTTCGACGAACTCGCGTGCTTCCTACTTAAGCTCTACAACGCGCTTTTTTAGAGTGGATGATAACTAACAAGCGCTCGTTGATTCATGACAGTTTTGCTAATGCAATTGTGTTTGATGGAAATGGGAAAGCAACTAGGAATTCGATCAAAACTGCACTGTCCTCGGCACCCTCGAATCCACCTATTCACTTCGACCAAATTACCGCGCGCGACTTCATGACATGGATCGTCTCAATGAAAAACGCAAATGACACCTATCACAGCTTCTCGACTTACGCTGGTCATCGTTCGGCATTTTACAACCTTTTTCAAGACTATCACCGTGTGATGCGATTGGATCTGGCTCGTGAACTTAGCAGCCATTTTAAGCGCTTCCAGCGCAAGGTAGCTGCAGCTGTGAGTCGAGGTCAAGGTCAAATTAAAGTCGGAAAGGACCCCATGTCTCTCGGTCTATACAAACGCATTGCTATGGAAATGCTTCTGAGTCCATCGCGGGACATGGTTTTTGCCCGTACCTTCATGGTACTGTCTTGGAATTTGATGTCAAGAGCAGCAAATACGGCCTCAATTTGCTATGGCCACTTGGAGTGGCGTGAAGATGCACTGTGTGTGTATTTTGCTCATATGAAGAATGACCAGCGTGGATCACGTCCTCGCGACCCGCGCCACGTGTATTCCAATCCGACAGCTCCTGAAATATGCCCCATTCTTGCGCTCGGTAAGTGCGATAGTATAACTACATCCAAATTGTTGTACACGACCCACCCGTATTGTGACTTACAGGTGTATACTGGGCGTCGTACGGCGTTGATGACAGCGACTTGCGTTTATTCCCCGGAAATGATCAATATGAAAGCTTCAGAAAAGTCTTAGGGCGCGTATTAAAGACCACACCTGTTGCAGATGAGCTTGAGCGCCGTGGAACAAGTGCCACCGACATCGGAACTCACTCTATGCGTAAAGGGGCTTCTACGTTTTGCTCCTCTGGGTTGACAGCATGCCCACCAGCGGTAGCAGTCCATCTTCGAGCAGGTTGGTCGATGGATGGAGTACAGGACCGCTACTTAAGGCACGATGCCGCTGGTGACATGTTCGTTGGCGTACAGTGACCGGTCTCCCAATTTTACAGCCTGAGTTCGCAGTTCTACCTCCCCATTTTGCTGCTGGTGCCGAAATCATCCAGAGCGCAAAAAGGCTCTGTTTTCCTGGATTGCCTGAGTCAGTCGAATATGTTGCCGAGTTTGCTTTGGCATCATTGGTTTACCACATCGATTTTCTTCGGGAGAATTTGCTGAACACCCACCCTCTCTTTCAGTCAGCCCTGTTTGCCAATGTGGAATTAATTGAAAGTTTACGTTTGAATGTTGATACTAGTGGATCAGGATGTGCCATCCAACCCACCGGTGTTCCACCGCACGTAACAATCCTAACTGAAATTCGCGAGGCAAGAAATGAATTACGTGAAGAAATAATTGCGCGCAAAGCTGACATGCAGAAAATTACTGAATTGCAGGATGCACTATGTGGTCGTTTGGTGACTGACGTCTCCAAATTATTGGAAGAACGCGTCTGCCAATCTGGTGTTCCTACTTGCAATAGTTTGGCCGACTCGGTTATGAAGCGGCTGGAGGATGTAGGAGTGCTCCAATTATTACTTCCAAGGGACGACGTAGCTGCTGGTGATGCTGGCCTGGATACTGTTGTCGAAACAGCAGAGCCTTCAGCTGAAAAAAACATCACATCATGTCTACCAATGGGGTGGAGCCATGCATCTTTTCCCTGAAGACATGGTGCTTCCCAATGGCACGGCAGAACAAGCGTGGGGAATTGGTGTTGTGGAAACACCGCAAAGACTCTTCCTCCATACAGATAGCTTCGCCCATCCGACTTGAGCAATCGAAACCAGCGCAAACGGCTGTGCGAGCTGAAGTTCCTCATGAAAAAAAATTGAGTTGAGAGCTCAAGCTCTTGGTTTGCCAACGGCGAAAGTATCATTCAATGAGGCTATCGACATATTCCAGCAGTGCAAAAGCGTAATTGACCTACCTCAAGAGACGGCTAACAGTAGAAAGCGTCGCTGGTATGGATTTCAGTCGCAACTATCCTTCGCAAGCAGGCAAAAGTTGGCCAAACCACCCCAGCATGCTGATCTTCTCCATCGGGCTAATATACAATAAAAACTCTCAGATCTAATCAGTAATGCAAACCTCTCAGAATTTGTTGTCCTGAGAGTTCCAAAAGGCGTCCGGTAAATTCCGCCCACAAGTAGTTTTAATTCTGATTCTAATATTCTGATACGTGTCAGAAATTTTACATAGTCAGGGTTGTGGTTGAAGAATCAGATTCGGTCTAATTTTAGGATTCTCGACTTAAATTTGTTACCTGTCAGAGTTAGAACGGGTCTGATCAAACATATAATGTATGAAAATAATATTTATCCTGATAGTACTATTAAAAACCACCGTATTAAATTTCATATTACCGATAGAACTATTAAGCTCTCAATCATTTCAGCCAATCAAGCGCTTAAAAATCGGGCGCGCTCGTAATTTCAAACTCGACACAACCAATATGAGCTCCAGCGGTGGCGTCTCGTACTCGTTTCCTCTGCTCAAGCCTCGCGAGATCTTCGCATGTCTGCGAGATATGCGAGTGCCCGTGTCTGAGGACGAGATCCGTGCGTGTGACGTAGGTGCCGTGCGCAAAGTACTCGAGGCGTTTATCGAGAACACAATGGGTGTGACCCGTGAGGACATGGCGCAGATCGCATTCCCGGGGCTACCAACACTCAGCTTCCCAGAACTTCACTCCGAATCCGTCCCAGACTTGACGTTCTACCGCACAGCGCAGCGGCTGCTTGTAGCCTGTGGCGTGGACGATTTTGGACTGCGAGATGTACTCCATCCGACACCCAAACGCGTTCGACGCCAGCTCAGCGCACTCATCAACTTCTCAAAGTTCCGCACAGAGCGTCTCGCTGCTTTCAGTGAGATAACGAGCCAAACAGACGAGCTCTTGGCACAGAAGAAGGCGCTACAGGAGGAGAACGCGGCGCTACAGCGAGAACTGGACCAGCTGCTCGAGGAGCAGAAGGCTGAGGAGCCTGCACGACTGCAGCTCCAAACAGAGGTCAATGAGCTGGAGAAGGAGATCAACGTACTTAACAGACAACAGGCTGTGCTGCGTCACGAGACGGACGAGATGAAGACTAGACGCAGTGAGATGGAGGACGCCATCTCCTCTACCAGGTTCACTAAGGTCGAGGCGGAGAACGACATTGAGCGGCTGAAGGCGCAGATCGTCACGTCGCCCGATAGAGTTAAAGGAGAGCTGCAAACTATTGGCAGGACAGTCGATAAAGCCAAGGAAGATCTGCTCGAACTGGAGGAGAAACACGCTGCAGTGATCCAGTTCATCGAGATCTACGAACGAGCGGAGAAGGAGCTCGCCAGGACGTTCAAACTACTGGGCGAGATTGAGCAGGAGCTGAAGACATGCAAGGAGACCAAGGATCAGCTCAAAAACGCGAGTACGCGTCTCAGTGAGCTCAGAATCCGCACAACCGAAACGGTCACGCGTCGCGAACGCTTGGAGAAGCTCGTGGAGCTCAAAAAGCGTGAACTGAATCGATACATGGAAGATGCACGGGCTGCGGATGAAAACGCCAATAGAGCGCTACAAATGGCTCGCAACGAGTTGAGCAAGTTGGAGGCGGCGCACCAAGAAGTCCGTCAGCGAATTATGCAGAATAACGACGCCAGTCGCAAGGTGGAACTCAAGATGAAGGAGGAGGAAGCGCAGTACACGAAGGAGCTCAAAAACCTGGAACAGGTACTGTCACTTTACGTGTTTGTGGGGAGTTTTGTACTGACATAACTGTGTTGTCGGCAGATGTATACTCGTCTTCATCAAGCCACAGAGTACTACAACCAACAGGTTCTCGGCGCAATCCGGTTAAGCTCGTAATTGCTCTTGGTGTGGAGGTCATTTATGCCACATTAGCTCTTCTGATCAACCACTGAGCCCGGAGTCATGTCAAATCCAGAATAATATATTATCTCAAGGCAAGGGCATATGAGTCAACAGCTCCGTGCCGTGTGTGTTCTGCTGTATCCGATGTGTACTAAGCTGTTCCAGAGTGGTCTCGTCACACTGTGCTGCGATGATCCGTACGATGATCGTGTCGTTGGTGATGTTGACAATGGACCGAAGTCGATCGAGGATCCAGTCTATGCTGACTAATATAGTGAAGACAACTGGAACGTCCACGCCGAACACTGTCCTCCATACAGTGAGTACCATCACTAAACCAGCGTGAGGCACACCAGCAACACCAAACGATGCGATGGCACTCACAAAAGCCAGCAGGACGAACCTCAGAGGTGTCAACAAGGCGTCGTATCCTCCGACTTTGGCCAGAAAAACACAAGCCAGTGGTATGTACACAGCCGTGCCGTTCAAGTTACTTGTAGCTCCGAGTGGCAACATGAAGCGCGAGATCTGGTACGATACTTCCTTCGTAGCGTCCACACAGCGCATTGTAATCGGCAGCGTCGCGATCGAAGACGAGCAGCCAAAAATGAAGATCTGCGCAGGAAGAATATGCCACAAATGCAAGAAAATGTTCCTCCTTGTCGTCACGAAGAGCGTCAATCCAAAGACAACGATTGTCAATGTCAACAGCGCTACGATCAGAGTTCCGATCAAGAACGCCACGCCCCGTACCAGCACCGACGAGGAAGTGTAACTAGCGATTGAACCGGCGATCAAAGACACGACAGCGATCGGGATGTACTTGACTACGATGTTCACAAGCAGGAGGATCACTGTGTTGGCGTGTGTCACTAAGAGCAGCGGGTAGTTCTCGACTCCTGCTTCTTTATCCACACTCTTCATTAGTGCGAGTCCCATCACAATGGCGAACGCAATGACACTCAACGTCGACGTGCCTGCAAATGCCTCGAAGATATTATTCGGCACGAGGTCTTTGAGGATGATGAAAATCTGCTCCGAGACGTTCAACTTCTCGTACTCCGTGTCTGCTCTCACTAAATATCCACTCACATCATCCAGTACGAATAAACTGTTGGGTAGTGTTCCATTTATCGAGCTGCACGCAAGCGATCCATTAGAATACGAGAGATACCTGCCGTCATCACACTGAACACTCAGCGACGGGATCGTTGGCTTGATCGGCACCACTGCACTTGACGGATACAATTTTGACATGGCGAAAGCGAATAGTGTTCCTAGAACTGACGACGTGATGGAGGCCATAGCGAAGGACAAGATAATTCGTCTTCCGATGGACGCGGCCTTGCCTGCCTCCACTAATTCGCCTATACATACGATGACGCTGCAGAAAACCATTGGAGTCACTAAACACTTCAGCGCTGAGATGAAGAGAACGCCAGGTAACGCAATCCAGTCGGCCGACTCGCCCTTCACTTGGTAGTGAATGAGCATCACGCCGGTCATGAGGCCGATCGCAGCTCCGAGACCCACTTGCCAGATGCTCACATACGCGTTCTGATCGTATGGCGATAGGATCATGTCCTTGACTCCCAGTCCTCTGTACGAGATCGGCTCGTTCACTACTCGCACAGGAGGCCGCGGTCGGTCTCTAGAGCGAAAATCGAACTGCAATATCGCGCTGTGTGGCGACATGGAGAAGCCGCTGTCCGAGTCGTAAAAGCTCCTGGAACCCTCTGAGTTCTTCATGGCGATTTGAGCTCTTGATCACCACGTTCGCGGCTGAGGCCGACTGACCTGTAGCGTCCTATTAGATATCGTGTCCTGCCACCGCTCACTCGATAGACTCGCCACGCTCCGCCCGAAAATCGAAATGGTTCAGCACTTGGTTTACAAATCCAAAGCGCTTTGCCAGCCGGAATATCAACAGCGAATGACTTGGCTGCAAATCGAACAATGTGCCCTTGTCCACGCTTTGCCCTTACAACTCACGATCGTCGTTCCACCCGAGGCTCACCATGAAGCGGACGGTCCTGCAGGTCGCCAATAGATTCATGTAAAAATGTAAAGAATTCACACGTTGAGGACTGCGCGGCAGGTGATCCGTTGCAAGAAAAGCATCAAGACTTTCGTGTCGTGACAGGTTTGCGGGACCAAAGTGCATCAGCACCTCAACGCAGCGTGATATAGTATCGGATCCAGCTTTAGAGATCCCACGCGTTTTTTAAAGCTCTTATCCGTTGCTTTGCATTTGCTTGGGTGGCGGAGATACCAGCCATTTCTTTGCTTTATCATAGAGTCGATCTAAAATATGTTGACGCCAAACGCTGTATTACGCGAACTTTACTCTTTTTTAAGGGTGCGCAGAGTTCCAGAGTATACGTCGTCGCTTCTCGCTAGCTGCATAACTAAAGATGACACTGCAGATGCCTCGATCTAGTACCAAGTCCTGAGCGTTTAATGCCAGTAAGAACGTAAACTTACGGTCCATAGGCAGTGGAGTCACATCTAGTAGCTCGTTTTGGAAAGATACATCGAGCCGCATGCATCGAGTTCGATAGAGTTGAATGTACTCGTCGTCATCAGGCCGTCGAGGCGCATCTGCGTCTTCATTGGGCAGATCCAACTCCACCAGCGTCAACGTCTTGTTGGTTTCCAGTGCGGCGTGCAGGTGACGTACACCGTTGGCACCAATCTCATTGTGTGCCACACGTAGTTCCTGTAATACTGGAACGTTTTCCTGTACTTGACCGCGTAGAGCTGCGGCTAACACGTTCACAGAGTCGGCACCAACGAGGTTGGCATTGAGGTTCAGTGTCCGAAGATGTCGACCGAGGTCTCTATTAAGTGCGTCGACAAGTAGCTGGAGCTGAAGAATCCTGCAGCCTTCTACGTCCAGAGTGTGGAGTTGTTGACAATCAGCCAGAATCGCATCGAGGTCCATGGCTGACAACGCGTTACGTCGAAGTTCTAGTGATCGCAATCCCCCACCAAAACCGCCAATGAATCGCTCCAGGGCCTCTGTAGTAGTCAAAGAAGCGGCCATGTCATTCATTACCAGCTCTGTAAGTACTGCGGAACCAGGGATAAGGCCGTCCTCGGTGTGTTCCCAATACATTGCGTGCTTTGCTTGGGTCCAAACGACTCCGAAGCCAGGGACAACCACGCAGAGCCATGTAGGATCTTCGTCTAGAGAGGCTAATACTTCCCACTCCTTGGATTCAGCACCGAGACTTGCAGCTTTGACTTCGTTTTCGATAATACATAGTCGTGGGGATGACTTAGTAGGGGATGAGTACAACTCCGTGCTGCTAGACAAGAGACAACGGATCATTGTTGCATCTTGATTAGGTCGCGATTGAAGCTCAACATCTTCCAGCCATCGAGCTACTGTCGCTTGTGGATCACGAAGACCTTCGATCCACGCTTCACTCTCCATGGGATACAAAGGGTTACCCGACAAGTCCAGTCTCTGCAGTCCTGTTCTCCCTTCTTGATGAATCATAGATCGCAGTCCAATTGCCAGCCATTGCCAACACGTTTTCCGATCCGCAGGGTCCACGAGCGAGAATGTATGTGCCAGAGATAACTCCTCCAGTTTGGTAGTCTCACTTCTCAATGCCGAGCAAATGCAGCCAACGTGGTGATAACTCAGCGAATTATTTGCCAATGACAGCCTCTTCAAAGGCGTCTTACTGTCTGTATTAAGACCAAATGCTGCACCCACAAACGCTCGGAATGCTATCCAGTTCTCCGTCGTGAGTGTCCGAGTAAGTGCGTTCTCCAGCACCAGCTTTTCCAGCGGCATCTCCCAACGGAGTCGTCTGCGTCGTCCACACTCGTCCAGCAGTTCCGCCAGCGCCGTCAACTCCGCGCTCTTCATGGCGTTCTCACTCAAATCTAATGACGTGACGCAATATTTCACCCTCGCCCCTTGTCCATCTTCCCTTTTATCACTCAACAGCAGCGTCTTGAGCTTCTCTATTAGTTCAGTGGTAAGTCGACACCTCACGAACTTGAGAGCCACTGGTACCACTCGAATAAAAGTCCCCACATGCCGTTCCTGCCTTACGCCTGAGAATTGTGACTGCATCGATGTTATCTGCGGTTGTGGTGTCACTAAGAACTGCGCCAGCGCCTCCAGCAGCTCCACAGTCACCTTACGACGAGAGAAATCTAATACTACTCTTGGGAATCGCTTGTCTCGTAGCTGCAGTTGCAGCTGCTGCCTGCGAGTCGTGGATCCTCCCAACATGAGCTCTGAGGCCAAAACCTGCTCCCAGAAGGCCTGTTTCACCAGTGGATAGCGCAGCAGAGAGTGCGAGTAGCTCTCCATGGCCGCCACACTCTGCAGCCTCTGTTGGACAGAGGAGACGGCCACGTGCCGGAAATTCACGACCAGAGACAACGAAGAAGCTTCACATTGCGATGCACTGCCATTAGAGGGCAGGATACTCAGGAGGCCGCGCAGAGCGGCCGTGCACGCAGCGTCGTCGACTAGCGTCGGAGCCATGGATAATGTTGAACCGCCCAATGAGATTGCGCAACATTGAGGACATGCTCAGGCAACTTTAAAATATTGAGTTTGTGCAACTTAATCCCTTCAACTTGAACTCAGTGGCATATCCGAAGCCGTTCGTAGCTCGGAGCTTGGTTGCCGGACGTGTTTACTTGCCAAAGCGGCGCTAGCGGTGGTTAAATTCGGCGATAGTGTCGTGTAGACCCTTGCGCGTCATTTTCGGCCAGCATTCAAGAAAACGAGCTCGACATAAGCAATTTGAAACAGCAGGAAGTTGCTGACACGCAACTCGGCCGACGTTCGGATCATGATTAGTCACTGTAGACAAGTGGTGATATCAGCGTACAAGTTATTCGTTTTGTTGGACGTTTAGATGAAAGAGAGGGCATGTAAACGTACGCAGCGAACAAATGCTGGCTGAACAGATCTTCGTTGATGTCATTGAGACTCGTTCCGCCGTGGGCCATCCCGGTAGCGATTTCTGCAGGCTCCGGCGATCTCGTCACGGGCGCTGTAGCTGCAAAACACCACTTTTTTTTAAGCTTCGAACCGGGATTGGGATGGTGACTGGAGGTATCGGCAACGCTAACTTGTACCTGAGGCAAAGGTTGAGGTAGAGGCCGTCGCAGTGCAGGGTCTTGGTCTCACCCTCCTCGATGGATTCGACGAGGAATGCTGGCATCTTCTGAGGGTCGGAGGATAGCACACGCATTCGGATGTTGTGCGCAAGTGCACGGACAAGGGTGGCGTGGATAAAGCCGTCGTTCAGCTTCATTAGAGCGTCGATCTCAGTCTTCTCATGCTTCTAGTTGTCTACAAACAAACCCAATCAGCATCATCGACAATAAGCGGAGATCCTGACGGATCAGCTCATCCATTTAAAAGGCAAATATTGTGAGAGCTTCAATACCGGCGTCGATGCACCGGTCCGTAAACTTTAAAGCAGTCTTTTTGATCCCATCCACTTGGTCGCGGGTGGCCGAGCCGTACTATCTCCGGCATGGCGGCGATACTGTTGTTGCTGCTGTTGGCATGGCCTTTCGCGTCAAATGGAAAATGAATCCACCCTCATTTAAGTATGTCATGATGACAGCCATCCGTTTGTGCGTGAGTCTTGGTTGAACATACTGAGTCACACACGGCGCGCATACCAGGGCGTCGTCGTCATGAAATGATATGAGCTCTCTGAAAAGAATCGCTCCTTGCCTCAAGAATAGGTTTTGTTTCAAGGAAAATATGCTCAGGATCAGCAAATGATGCTCTTCTTAGGCATTTTTTTTGCGTATTGTATTGAGCTAACTTCTGGTTTGCAAGTTGAGACTCTCCATTAAGCCCCCGTGATTTACGTAGTTCTTGTGGTATCGTGCTGCGCAAATTTGCATGGCGACATGTATACATCGCTGCAGAAAGGATAGGCCTACGATCAATTCAGCTCGGAGTATTCGAATCAAGATGCTGGTTATTTTACCACAGCGGACTTATACTGCCTGCACCATAGGCATCATCTAGTCTGCCATCACTGCATCTTGCTGCAACACACAAATTAAGGTCAACTTCGGACGGTTGGAGAATAAAACAAGCTAAGACTCACGTTTGCTGTGCTCGTCCTTTCAAATAAATATGGACGTGAAAGATATTGATCGAGCGTGACAAGTTATCGTCGTAATTCCAGCTTTCCACGCGAGGGGCGTACTTTCGCAGCCAGTTGCACACGAACTTCTCGATCTCTGTATCCACCATTTCATGCCGACTCCACAGCGTCCAGTGCTCGATCCCATTGGGAGTGTCGTAAGGAAACATGTTTGGTTCCAACACGACCTCCTCGTTGCTCAGTGTAGTAGCTAGAATGACCTCTTCTCTGGACTCGAAGAACTCATCCACCATCTCCATGTGAGCCCATTTGCGCTCAAGACATTCGTCTGTTCGTCCCCAATACTCCAGGCGCAAAGTCCTCGTCGGTCCACTCGTTGCGTTATGTTCTTGCAAGTGTTCTTGGTCTGCACAAGGACGGATACACTGTCGTTTGGCACTCCTCCCTGTGTCTTGGCTCGTCGGTGAACTACCGGGCGAAGTGGGCAGCGACCGCTTCATCTCCGTGGCCAGCATCATAGTGAGGGTACGTCAAGAAGCGCACAATGCGGAATGCGACAACTTCAACCAGCAACTTACAGACCATCACTCTGCTGCAACATACTCAAAGCTAACCAACAATATTCTGTGAAATACAAGGAAAGCAACAAATTGAAGCTTTTAGTCCGACTATATGTGTGTGTCTCTTCTCTCTCTAATTCTCCGTCTCCTCGTCGATCTTAAGCGTAGCGACCGAGAGATGGTCTTTCACGGCCTTCAAGAACGCAGCCACCTTGTCCAGGTCCTTGACGCCAGGAGAGCCCTTCACTTCCACTCCACTACTGACATCCACACCAACGGGGTGACCGACCGAAAGCGCCTTTACAACATTCTCAGGAGTGAGACCGCCAGCCATGAGGCAGGGAAGTCGCGCCTGTGTGAAAATGGCTGCGATCTTCCAGTCGAACGCGACGCCAGTACCGCCCTGTTGGCCCTTGACGGTCGTATCAAGCAGAATGTAGTTGGCAAGACCTTCACTCACCTGCTGTAGCACAGCCTCCGCATCCACGCCGTCGCACTGCGCAGTGTCTGGCAGATGCAACGCGCGGATCGTGGGGTATTTAATGTCCTTGCAGATCTCGAAGCCCTCGTCGCCATGAAGCTGTACCAAGTCCAGTCCGATCTCCTCTGCAGCCGCGTTCATCTCGGTCGCCGTCTTGTTGACAAACACTCCGACCACGAGGGGCGCACGAGAACAAGCTTCACGCAACGCCAGGACATTTCTATGGAACCAGTCGCTCTTGTCGTCCAGGTGAGACTCCAGAATGTCCGAGAGGATAGGACCCGTGCGCTCTCCGTACTCACGCACAGCCTTGGCAATAGCCTTGGCTTCCTCCTTCTCGACGTATCGAGGCGAGTGTTCTGCCATGATAATGCCGATCATATTGGCGCCATTACGCAAGGCAGCCAGCGCGTACTCCACTGTCGTGATGCCACACACTTTAGCCAGCGGAGGAAGCAGGGCAAACTCGCCTGACTCGCTATGACGCGTCACATTTTGCAGTAGATCCTTCACTGTCGTGGCGATATCGCCGCTCTTCATCAAGTACTCGCCGACCAAAATGCCACGGGCGCCGCATTTCTCGTATTTGACCACGTCTGTGTGCGAGCGAATGCCACTGAGAGCAAAGAGGGCGACACCATCACGGCCCAGCGAGAGCCCACGCTCTCGAATCGCGTCCGCTACACGAGCCGTCGTGTTCATGTCCACCTTGAACGTGCGGAGATCGCGGTTGTTGACGCCGATCAGTCGGGCCTTGGCAGCCAGAGCGATGTCCAGCTCCTGGACGCTGTTCACCTCGACCAGAGCGCACATACCGAGATTGTGAGTTGCCTGCAAGTCAACAAGAGACTGTCAGCGTCTAATAAAACCCTTAGTTAGCATTACTACGTACGTCAATGAGCTCGATAAGTTGTTCCTGGGACAGCAACGCCACGATGAGCAGCACGCAGTCAGCCCCATAGGCACGGGCCTCCAATAATTGATACACGTCGATGATGAAGTCCTTGCGCAGGATGGCGGGACGCTGACTCATACCTTCAACCACCTCGCGAGCTTCCATCATGTCGTCTAGTGAGCCCTTGAACCACTTAGGCTCCGTCAGCACGGAGATCATACAGGCGCCTGCGTTAGCGTAGGCCTGAACCTGCTCGCGCAGGTTGAGCTCCGTGGCAATGTCGCCCTTGCTGGGGCTCGCACGCTTAAACTCGGCAGCCAGAGCCACATCGGACCAGCCTTCCTTCTGTTTTAATTGCGATATTAGTAGCATACAATACAGTTAGATCATGGTTTCCCTTGACAAATCCAGCATTATTGGGCGCACCGCGGGCGCGTTAAGACGCTCGAGCACGGGCAGGGCAGGGCCGTAGACGCTCTCCGTGTGCTCGATCTTCTTGGCTAGATCGTCAGTTGACACGACCTGCTTGGCGGCCGCCACGTCAAGGCGGCGCTGCGCCGCGATCTCCTCGAGGATGTTACCCATGCTTTGCCTCAAGTGTCTATTTGAAAAGTGTGAGGCTCATGTCGGGCTCAAATCGGCCCAAAATAGTGATTATGTGACGCTTTTGATCATTTATGCAAGGTAGATGTGGTAAGGAGGAAATGTAGCCAAGAATGATTATCCTTGCCGTACCCGTGATCCAGCCGTACCATGATCTTCCTCAACATCTCGCCACTTCAGTTGCAAAGTAATCACAGAATAAACTCTACGGATTTTTTCAACAGCGTCACACGATGCAAGATGACGGTAAAATGCAGATACAGCTTTTTAGTATTAGCGTCGTAAATCTGCTCACAATTTCGTGCCTGCTTCCATCTCGGCCGCTTTACGCTTGGCTGGAGTCACAGACTGCCCCTCCTTGTTTGCTATTACTAACGCGCTATTGACAGCCTCCACCGCAGGCTTCTTGCCCTTCTTAGGACTCTTGGTTTTCAAGGAGGAAGAAACTGCAGCGACAAAAGTCACGATTAAATCATTAGCTAAAGTATTTATTAACTACAGTAGCAAGACGTACCTGTCGGAGTAGCATTCTCCGACTTTACCCAGCCACACTTGACGAAAAAGTCGTAAACGTGACCAGTCGTGTTCACATCTGTACGAGGTGACATACACAAAGTGAGTTACCAACTGTGATGGCTACATTTCTCTAATTGCTTAGTACGCACCTATCTGGACAGTCTCCTTGGCCATCTTCTTAGTCAAGTAACCCAACCGATAACACTCGCGAACCAACGCGTCTTTGATCACCAAATAATGCTACAACATACCACAGCAATAAACCTGTTAGCAAAGCACACAGGGACCACCAACAGTAAAACAATTACCTTCGGTAGTAACTTCAGCTTGGAGCACAATTCCTTCTCCTTCGGAGTCAACAAATGGCATCCTGGTGTACCTTCAATGGAAAAGGTTGCTGCAATCGCGTTGAGCGCACCTGCACTGGATCCTCTCGTTCTAGAACTCTCGCCACTTGCATCGCTACTCCCACCCTGTTCCCGGTTCTGCCACCTGTTAGCACGATCGCGGCTCGATGTTGTCCGACCCGACTCGTATAAATAAGAGGCACTATCACGCTGCTTCTGGATCGCCTGATCCAGCTCGCGCTTCTTCTTCTCCGCATCGTAAAGTTCTGCCTCAGCCAGCGTCTTGACACCGTTCTTGCGGTACTCCTGCAGCAGCAGAATCTGTTTCTTGAGTCTCATGGCTGTGATCAAGCCCTCCACAAAGTTATCGTGATCTCCCGGGGTTTGAAACCGCGCGAACGGCCGAACTTGAGCCAGCAACTCACGCTCCTCTTTCGGTCGCTTACGCTCCGTGTGCTGGTGCAGCTTGTAATCCAACAGCCCTCGCTCTACTACGAATTTCTTGCGCTGCATGCGCTTCTCCAGTTTCTGGTTGTAAATCTGAATAACCTTCAGCTTCAACTCACGTTCAGCGGGGTGATCTCCCTCCGAGAACTCCATATCAGCCAGAATCATCTCGGCTTCATTGTCGTATTCAACGTCAAAGTCTCCACGTAGCGGCATGTACCCAGCCAATTGACTGGGCCCGTTCCTCTCTCCTGGCGCACCTCTAACCACATTATCCGAGGCTGCATTCATCTCAGCCGCCTTGTCCTCAGTACTCAACTGCTTGTCGCTCTTGTTCTCCTCATCCTTGTTCTCCTCAATATCATCGCCAATGAACCGAGGCATAAGGTCTTTCCAGCCCAAATAGGCCGTTAGATAATGTTTTTCACACTTCTTATCACTTTTGGTAACGACATGCTCGGCAATGTCCTTCCAGTTGCCCATGCCAAACATCTCGATGCCCTCGAGCAGCAACAACTCCTCGTCCGCTGTCCATACAGCATTGGAAGTGTCATTGCTGGTAGTAGGAAAGGCTGCAGCATTGGTACCGATCGCTGCAGGTGTCGATGTCGCGCTCTCAGCTGTAGGCGGCTCGTAGACGATGGGGAAGGCCAAACAGTCCGAGACCGTGTACTTGTGGTTCTTCTTGTGCTCGCCCAACTCAATACCCACGGCAAAACACTCAACACATAACTCAAAAGGCGGTTGAGATTTGCACTCGGCGCATGTGATGCGGATGTTGCGCGTCAGGTCCTTCTGGCAGTTGAGGCAGAATTTGGTCTTCATGGCCGCAGGCTTGGCCGGGGGCGGCTCACTAACACTGGCTTCTGTAGCCTCAGCCTTCGGAGGCGCCTTTTGCGCGGCAGTGGCCGAGTCCTTGGCGCCCTTAGACTTGCTCTTCTTGGTGTGGCTGCGTCGCGCGGAATCGCTCTTGCCCGCCATGCTGCTAAGGTGGGAGAGTTCAAGTTGACTTGCCTTCAGTATGGGAAGGCTGGTGTGCCGCTTTGGCGCCACTCGGAGGAAAGTAAACTGTCTTATGACATGGATTATTGGATACAAGAGGTTTTGTTTTAAACACAACTTCAAGTTGACTCAAACTTGTTCAATTCATTTTTATGGTATGTGCATTGCTCTAGTACCGCATAACGGCGTAATGCTTCGATACGGCGAAGACACCGCCACTTTACTTGCCGAAGCGGCGTTTGCGGCGGTTGAACTCCATGATGATGCCCTCTACATCGTCCTTCGTCACCTCAGGCCACATTTTATCCATGAAGATCAGCTCAGAGTACGCGATCTGGAACAGCAGGAAATTGCTGATGCGAAGCTCGCCCGACGTGCGGATGAGGATGTCTGGATCCGGCAGACCGCTGTTGTAATAACAGAACTCGTCAGTAAATAACCAGGTTATCACTGAGCTGGACAGCAAGTACGTACGCTGTGAGCATGCGCTGACTGACTAAGTCCTCGTTGATGTCCTCAACGGAAGTCTCACCCCTGACAACTTCTGTCGCGATTTTCCTGCAAGCACCCACGATCTCATCCCGCGCGCCATAGCTGTTCAGATCACCATAGAATCGTGTTAGCTGGCTGAATCGAAGTAATGTAGAGCAACGATACTGCAAGCAACATCGTACCTGACGCAGAGGTTGAGGCTGAACTTGGAGCAGTTCTGCGTCTTCGTCTCAATCTCCTCAATCGCCTCAACGATGTAAGCGGGCAGCTTACGTCCATCGGATACCAACACGCGCACGCGTACATCCCTCTTCAGCGCCTCGGGCACAATCTCATGCATGAACTGGCTGAATAAGTTCATCAGCGCGTCCACCTCCGACTGTTCGCGATTCCAATTCTCTACATTAGCAGCAACAGTCAGCACTAGCACCGCCATGCAATCAACCTACATAGCTATCAGCAAAACTGACCTGTCGAGAACGCAAACACTGTAAGTGCCTGAATCCCGGCGTCGATGCACCAGTCTGTAAAATTGACAAGCGTCTTGCTGCCATCCGTGTGTCCTCGTACTCCTGCCCCATATTTGGTCTTGCCGTAGCGTCTGTTGCCGTCCATAATGACTGCAATATGGCGCGGGATCTTTAGCTCGCCAGCATCTTTCAGCATCGCCGTCCTTGCCGTTTTCTTCTCCATTGCCAGAAAATCAGCGTTAAGCAGTCGGTTCATCCACCCCACAAGGTACCAGACGGACGCAGGCAGCATCTTGCGCCAGGACACCGACTTGCCAAGACCGCTGACACCCGAGGCTAGTGAGAAGCTGAGTAGCGTAAGCACAAACACGAGCGTAATGGGCATCCCGGCCAGCCACCACATCTCAAAGCCGTTGTAAAAACTCTTGGCCAGCCCCAGATCGCGACTCGCATCCTCCAACTGCGACAGCGTCTGCCTCCCAAGGCTCTCGCGGGGCCAAATCACGCCACTCGCGTTCTCGTCCATCAGTCTAATAGCCTACAGAGCTGGGTCTAGTGAGTGCTGGCCGTATCAATGCAACTGTGCACAACTGTCTCGCGGCATACGTGTCCAATGTGTTCAGTTGCATTTCATCCAATCACCGTTCTTATCACTCCATTCAAATAGTAGGCCTTTGTCCACCGTCCTCTATTGCGGTGACATTTTCTACCAGCTCCTCCAGTCAGTAGATCAGCATAGGTAATGACGTTGCTACAGTCGCGATGGCTTCGTTTCACGCGCTCTGCGCTACCTCCAACGCGGCAACACAGACACGACCGCTTACTACGGGGTTTCAGCGTATCGATTCCGAAATTTGAGGCGGCAGGTGCGCCTGCGTCCTTGTCTTCGGGCAACTCTCATTCGGGCTCCAAGCGGTTCCGCCAGCACGTGAACCCGCTCTCGGTGACGTATCGCCAGCCCGTGGAGCTGCCCAAGTGGACGCAATGCTTCGCGAACACCTCACTGCCCATCCACCTTGACATCGGCTGTGCTTGGGGCAAATACCTGATGGACGTGGCTGAGTCTCAGGCATTCGAGCGGAACTTTGTAGGCGTCGAGATCCGTCGCAACGTGCTACGAGAAGCGGAGCGAGAGGCCGAGCGACGAGGACTTCGCAATCTGGCCTTCGTGCATGCCAACATGAACTTCCACCAGGCGACGCTGCTGCAGTCTCTACCTGGTCCCGTTAAAAGCGTCTCCATCTTCCATCCGGATCCGTGGATGAAGAAGCGCCACATCAAGCGGCGACTGGTGACGGAGGAGTTCGTGGAAGAGATGGCCACCCACTTACCGAATGGAACTCCGATATACGTGCAGACGGACGTGGAAGAACTGTTCGCATACATGGTGGAGATTTTTGAGATGTCTAAACTTTATGATTTCGATGCGCTGCATAAGAACCCGCTGGGGATCCCCACGGACAGAGAAAAATTTGTCTGCAATGAAGGAGGCGACATCTACCGGGTCAAGTTTATAGTCGACAAGTCAGAGAAGGAGGCAAAAGACCCCGCTGCTCAGATCTGTGACTGAAAAAAATCGACGAAAGAACTGAACGTTCATATAACTGGTATAGACATGTTTTTGCTTATCGACATTATTCTGCGCGGACAACTTTCGGACCAGCGACTTCAGATTAGATATGCATAGGATACCTTGGAGGTTGGTAGTCGGACTGCGCTTTACTTGCCAAAGCGGCGTTTGCGACGGTTGAACTCGATAATGATGTCGTGCAGGTCTTCGCGTGTCACCTCCGGCCAGAATTTGTCCATGAAAATGAGCTCTGCGTAGGCGATCTGGAACAACAGGAAGTTGCTGATGCGCAGCTCGCCCGATGTACGGAGCATGATGTCCGGATCCGGCAGGCCGCTACAGTGCGAAGGAACGATAATAGTAGGCAACAGTTAGCTCAGATACAGTACCAAAACAATCGAACGAAAGAGACGAGCATGAAAACGTACGCAGTGAGCATGCGCTGGCCAACCAGATCTTCGTCGATGTCGTCGATACTCGTTTCACCCTGGGCCACCTCGGTAGCGATTTTCTTGCAGGCCCCGACGATCTCATCGCGGGCGCCGTAACTGTAAAAGCACCACCGAAATCTCGGTTAGGATAAAGTTTGAGGATAAAAGACCTCACGCTGTAGCGTACCTGACGCAAAGGTTGAGGTAAAAGGCCTCGCAGTGTTGGGTCTTGGTCTCAACCTCCTGGATGGATTTGACGAGGAAATCCGGCAGCTTGCGGCTGTCGGAGGCCAGCACTCGCACTCGGATGTTGCGGGTGAGCGCCTCACCGAGGATGTCGTGGATGAAGCCATCGACCAGTTTCATCAAGGCATCGATCTCGGCCTTCTCACGCTTCCAGTTCTCTGAAAGTAATATAATAAAAAAACGCTGCGTCAGCATCACCGAAACATTAGGATAGCAGATCGGGATAAGAATACTCACCCGTGGAAAAGGCGAAGACTGTGAGGGCTTCAACCCCAGCGTCGATGCACCAGTCCGTGAAGTTCATGACGGTCTTGGTGCCGTCCGAGTGACCGCGAGTACCCGAGCCGTACTTGTTCTTGCCGTAGCGACGGTTGCCATCGATAATGACGGCGATGTGGCGAGGGATCTGTTGAAGACAACAGTGGCTCGAGTAAGCATTTGATGACCAGGAAGACAGGACAAAGCTTACAAACCTTGAGGTCCTTCTCCATCTCCGGAAAGGTGGCGGTGCTGTTGCTGCTGCTGAAGGCTTCGGCGCCCATGGTCCTGTGCTCGTTGACGTTAAATGGGAAATGAGACTGAGATCGGCGAGGGAACTCGGCACGCTGGCGCGACTCTTGTCATCCGTTGGCGTGTCGTTGCCTAGGGAGCCAAGACCGCCAGCACACGGCACGCACTTCAACGCGCGATGCCTCGTCGTCGCCTCGACATGCACAACAATCGGGATAGATGGCAGGTCACAATCTTCGTACCAATCGAAGCTTTTGCAGCGATGTCCCTCCGACACCTGCAGAAGAGAACGTGCATGCGTGGAATAAGGATTGATTCGCCGACAAGACTCACATGGAGCCGTCTGTCGGTTTCGAAGGAAATGACGAGCGTCAGCGCCATCTTACGAGCAAATTTTAACCTTGAAAAATTCAGCCAGGAAAGAGCAGGCAAATCGAACAATGATACTTGTAGTCGACATCTATGATTTATTCGTTTCCCCATCGCACCCTCTTCAGATGAAGTCTCAAACACGATGACAAGTAATATGTACCAGGTAAGCTTAAGAGATGTTGATTTTGTGCCCCGCTAACTTTTTTTTTGCTAGCCTTCACCGAAGATTTTCGTCTGTCTTGTATATACTGCAGTCATGTCATACTGCTGCTGTAAACATCGTAAGCTGGCGCTCTACTGGAGATGCCGGACACCTTCAAAGATCTTCATCTAGGCAAGCATGACCACAGTGGTTCGACTCCTTAGCAGATGGCT